TAAAACATTATAAGAGAAGAAGAACAAATGACGAACATATTTTTCGGATATAATGACAAAAAAATAGCAATTAGTAAAAGTTTTCGATTCGAGAATTCAATCATTCAAAAAACATTAATGAAAATGTCCTGCATGAAAAGACATTACAACAAAAATATTTGAACACTAGATCCTGGAGTGAAAACTTATGAAACAATACCTAAATTATTCATGGAGCAAACACGTAAAACACTTGTCAATTTGTTCAAAATCATGATCATCAAAGTGGCTAAATGAAAAAATCCTGTAAAATCGCTTTGAATTAACGGCAACCTTGTTGGCTCCAAATCGTCCTTATACTCAGCACAACGTTGACACTTTTTCAAAAATTGTTGCAGATCTACTTTCCAATTCGGCCACCAAAATCTCTTGCGTAATTCTTCCTGATTCTTGAAAATCCCAAAATGTCCGTTATCATGAATCGTTTTCAAAATTGTTGCCTGTTCCGCATGATCCCGAATATATAGACGTTTATTATTACTTTCGATTCTAAACCACCTTCCGTCAATTTTGGTGAAATTTTTTCGATCTTTCTCAATAATTTCATCAACCGGTTCCTCAATCGTTTCGTTTAACAAATTTAGTCGAACACGACTTAGAGTATCCGCTAAAACGTTGTCACTTCCTTTGATATAATCAATACCGTCAATTTCATATTCCATTAGTTTCATTACCATTCGGCCTAGCCTGCCTGTACAGTCACTTTTTGACAATAACCACTTAAGTGGTTTATGATCTGTCTCGATCCGAAATTTACGACCCAACAAATAATAACGCCAATGTTTAATCGCTTCGAGGATAGCTGTAGCTTCCTTATCATAAGTAGAATAACGACATTGTGTCTTCGTAAACATTCTTGAGAAAAAATCAACCGGCGTCTTAATTCCATCTATAATTTGTGCTAAAGTTGCACCATAGCCAGTGTCCGATGCATCTGATGTAACAATAAATTGTAAACTTGGATCGGGAATTTTGATTTTCTTGTTTTCTTCTATGACTGATTTCAATTTCTGGAAGGCCCTTTCTTGCTCGTCCTTCCAAACGAAAATTTTGCTATTGGCACAATCAAATAAAGGTTTAGCAATACCCGCAAAATTCTTTATCAGATCTCTATAGAAACCGGCCATACATACGAAAGTTGTCACTTCTTTACAACTAACAGGTTTAGGAAACTTCAAAATTTTTTCTTTATTCTCCGTAATAATCGAACGACTGCCGCTATGAATTCTTAGACCAAGATAATTAACATCCTCAACTCCGAACGAACACTTTTCAATATTCAACCGCAAACGTTCTTTTCGTAACAGAGAAAGGACCAACAATAAGTGTTTACGATGCTCATCTTCCGAGTTGCTAAAGATCAATATATCGTCTAAGAAACATTCTACGAAAGCGAGATGACCCAAAATTGATTCCATAAGACGTTGAAAAGTTTGGGGCGCCGAAACCAAACCGAACGGCATTCGTTTAAACTGGTAAAGTTTATTCTCAAACGCGAACGCCGTGAATCTCTTTGAATCTGCATGCATTGGGATTTGGTAATATCCAGACTTAAGATCCAATTTTGAGAAAAATTTGGCCCCAGCTAACTTAGAAACAATATTTTTAATTACTGGCATGGGAAAAGCATCCGTCTTGGTTATTGCATTGATATCACGAAAATCGACTGCTAACCTGACCGAGCCATCCTTTTTCTTTATTGGAACAATTCTCGATCTAAAATTACTTGAAGACTCTTCAATTATATCCTGTTTGAGCAGATCGTCGATATGCGATTTCAATTGAGCTTGCCAATGAATCGGTATTTCTTGCAACTTATGTCTTATTACTTTATTTTCCGTTAGCACTATTTGATGACTGATACGATCGTTTTTTCCAATACCAGAAAATAAATCCTTGAAATCGAACAACAAATTTTTTAATTCTTCGCTTGGACAATTTATTTCCATATTTGATAGAAAACTTGAAGATTGAACCTTAGAAATAATTTTACCATTTCTATAAACGTTCAAATCTTTACGAAGTTCAAGTTCGAACGCACTTATAACATCCAAACCAATTAAAACGTCATGCGCCAACTTATCAGTAACAATAAAATTTACCATCTTTGATACATTATCGATAGTCACCATTATTTGAGCCCTCCCAAGGCTTTTAAACGTAGAACCATTACCTAAACGGATCACCTTCTTATCAACAAAACCAAAATTACTGGCAATGTTCTTAACTTTCTCAGCTGTAATAAATGAACTCGACGCACCAGAATCAAATAAAGCGTGACAAGCAAATTTATTCAACTTAAGCAAAACAAAAATAACGCACATGGGAGGGCGAACTAGTTTAAATTTAGCATATTCAAAGATGTTTGTTGCTGTTGACTTCGCCAGTCCACAGATTGATCTTCAGGCGTCTCCAAATTATTCAAATCTCTTCTCTTAAAACAAATTGCCGAAGAATGGTTACCATTGCATCTATTACATTTAACATTCGAATGACATCTGTTGATACTATGACCTTGCCGAAGACACCGAAAACACAAATTTTTGCCAGCTGCTATAGTCCGACGGCTTTCCGCAGATCCAGAATTACATCTGAAAGAAATATGATCACCCCCACAGAACAGACATTTAACATTCTTTTCACGAGACCGATATCGAGAGCCAGCATTAGATGAAAATGAATTGAAAGACGTCCGACCCATATTAGAAGAATACCGATAACCCAATAAAGATTCAGCCGTAGCCAATTGTTTCAACGTATCAATAATTGTAGACGGAAGTTGACCCACTAAAGGTAAAATTGTTGGTTCCACTCGTCTATGGGACCGCAACAGAGACTTAATAACTTCAACAAAGGGCAACTCCAATTGATCCATCGTAATACCCACTTCTAATGCATTGTGTAGAGAACGCTCCAACTGACTTGCCACATCCATCAAAGACATTGAAGGGGAAAAACGCAAATTTGACCACTCACGATAAACTTGATGCATTTGACTTTCCGAAGAACCAAACAAATTCGACAAATGGCTTACCGCCCAATCAAAACTTTCTTCAGACAACGTTATCGGGAGCCATTTTTTTAGATGTGGTGGTAGAGCACCTTCCAATAACAAATACTTCTCCTCAGCCGTCCAAGAACCTTTCGACACAATTTTCAGCAACAATGATTTAAATTTAAGCCAATCCGATTGACGACCTGAGAACTTTAATTGCAATTTTTCTAGCCTGGTCAGGGCTTTATCACGGGACTCTTCCAAGAAAGACAAAATTTTACCCACTTTAGCGTGATATTCACCGGATAGTTGCACATCTTCTTCTGAAATGTCGGTGCGTTTTTCTTCAATCTCCACCATCTGATCAGCCAAAAATCGTACCCTATCCCCATCTTTGCTCGAAACTGTACGACTCGATATTTTATTAAAAATCATCGTAATCTCTCGGCGAATTGTTGACAAATTGACGTTATCCATGACTGCACTCCTGACACCAGTAAGGAAAACCAACACACGTCAATAACACAAGCAAAAAAGAACATTTTATTCATTTTTCAACAATCTTTTTATATACAAGAGCATCGTCAACCAACACCGATGACTTGTGGTCACCTCACACGACCACAAGTCATCGGTGCTGATGACGCGCAGTTCAATACACACTGCACTACGCATTAATATGGATCAAACGATTTATGAAATAATTCAATCCGAATATTATTATGTGAATTTTTTTATATTTAGGATATTTTTCCGACAATATGAATATGAAAAACATCGAATTAGAATAACATATCAACGATTCAAATATGCGATTTTCATCATAGGGGTTTCACACTAGCAGCAATGTGAATGAAATTATAATGTATTATTCTTTGAAAATTTAGATCGTTACCATTGAAAACATATTATTGCAAAATAGTAAATTGAATTTTGAAATAAAATAATCATTATTACTTGAAAAAAAAACTTCAAAAATTGCATGAAAAAAACAATGGAAAATGTACATAAGTTTTTATCAGGGTCAGGCGAAATATTAAGAAGAAAGAGTTTTTAATCAATTATTCGTAAGACAGAATCAATAAAACCACAAGAATTTTTAAAGTTAATATGGCAAATAGTGAAAATGATGTTGCTCTGCGCGCCACAATACAATAGCAAAAAAGAAAACCATTTTATGAACAATGATCATTTCCTTATGATATAATGAAATGAAAAATCAATTTTTTTCAAATTCAAAAAACATCAATAATAATGACAAACATTTTTTTTAGTCATTTTTTTCTCGTGATAAAAAATTAAAAATAATAAAAATGTCATATATGGGAAAACATTCCGACTAAATATTTGCACAAAGGATATTGATAAGAAAACACGTAAAACTTCTTTACCAAAATTATTCATGGATTATTTACGTAGAATAGTTGGCAATTTTTTCACAATTATAATCATCAAATTAGCTAAATGGCTACGTATTGATGAGAATCAAACAATTTTTGAAATAATTCAATCAGAATATTATTATGTGAATTTTTTCATATACAGATTTTGTTTTCGACCAGATGAATATGAAAAACATCGAATTCCATTGACATATCAACGAATTAAAAGTGCAATTTTCATATATTTAAATGGATTGCTAATAATTTCACTATTGACAATATATGTTTGCTCGAAAGGAAGCACTGTTATCATAGGCTATAACTATTTTGAAGAAATTTTCTATATTCAACGAGTGGATTTAGTGTTTATTTGCATCTTGGGAATACTTTGTGGTGGTGAATGTATATCTATAGGCCTATTGAGTAAAGTTATTAAATATAAATCACCATGGCATGATTTTGTGCGAAATAATTTTAATTCTCATAATCAACGATTAAAATCAAATAAACTGCAATATTTGAAAAAATATCATTCATTATTGAAAATTAACGGAATCATTTGGGCTAGTTTTTTTATTCCGAGCATGATTATAATACATTTTTGGGACATTTACATAGTATTTTGGGTTTATTACGAAAATGGTATTACATCAACACAGTTGATATTTAGCATAATATTAATATTGTCAATGGGTTTTCACATTGAATTTATGTTTTGTGATCTACTAATCGGTACATTATTCATTGCATTTTGTACGAAATATCTTGAATTACGTTCGAAACAAACACTAAAATTCATAAAACGTAATCATCGTACAAAACGAATCACAATGATGAAATGGAATCATATCCACCAAGATTACGTTGATATTTATCAACAAACAAAACTAAAAAATAAGACAATAAGTTTCATATTATATAATTTGGAATTGATATCGAAAATCGCATCAATATCTGCTTGCGTATTCTATAGTCGTCAAATCAATATGGGAGTTTATAATTCAATAATTATCGGCGCAATGTTATCGGTATTTGTTTACATAACTGGTATATATTCACAATTAACATATTTGCCTGAATATAATCACCAATGCTGTCAATTATTACTAAAATGGATGGCCAAACAATCAATCAAAAGTAAAACAAAAATATCAAAACAATTGATATATGCATCGATTAAATCGAATTTATTTCTACAAACAATGAGTAGAAATAAATTTGGATTTCATTGTGGTCATTTATTTTTCATAACCAAATTTAAAGTTGTTGAACTAATCATGATGAATATTCCATTAATTTTATTGTTTTACAAGAAAATTTTAATGAAATGAAAAAAAAAATTTGAAAGTTATCATTCGAACAATAAATGAGTAGCAAACTATTCTTCTTTGTAATTCGAAATTATATTTTGGAAACAACAGAAATTACTAAAAAAAGAGAAAAAAACCATTATTAGTTGAAATAAAAATGACTTTTAAAAACAATTAAAAGAAAAATTATATAAAAACAGAGAAAAAATCATAATTACTTAACTTGTCATGTTGTATGAAAGAAACATAATGTAAAATGATCACAAGCAGAGATAAATTATTAAGAAGAGGGTCGAATTTTTAATTCAATCATTCATTAGACCAAATCAATGGATTGCATACAAGTTATAACGCAAATAAAATGCTGCATTCTAAAAAAATTCATCGTATCTTTTTGATATAATGACAAAAAACTAATTATATGAATCTTAGGAATCGACAATACTTTTTTACCAAATTTAAAACACATTAATGAAAATGTCATACATAAAACGACATTTTCAGTCATTGAAAATAGTTGAACTTGATATTCTGGTATGAAAACATGTATAACAATAACAAATTTACTCATGGATCATTTACGTAAAATAATTGGCGATTTGTTCACAATCATAATCATAAAATTGGCTAGATGGCTACGTATTGATATGAATCGAACGATTTTTGAAATAATTCAATCAGAATATTATTATATTAATTTTTTTCTGACGAGAATTTTTTTCCAAAAAGATGAATATGAGAAACATTGTATTCCACTGACATATCAACGATTTAAATATGCTATTTTGATTACTTTTAATGGATGGTTAGTGATTACGCTTTTGATATTTTATATTTGGTGGAAAGAAAGCAAAATTGTAATAAATTATGTACATTTTGAAAAAATCTTAAATATTCAACGGGTGGATCTAGTGTTTATTTGTATGATATGCATATTTTGTGTTGCTGAATGTATATTTATTGGTCTATTGTCGAAAGTTCTTGAATATAAATCAGGAATTCATGATTTTTTTCAAAAACATCTTCAATTTGATGATCAACAGTTAACATCGGATGATTTTCAATATTTAAAACAATATTATTTGTTATTGAGAATTACAGGAATCAGTTTCAGCACGATAGTGATTCCGAGTTTGTCCATTCTTTATTTTAGTTCAATATCTTTAGTGGTTTGGTTATATTTCAAAAATAGTATTACATTAATCCAGCTAATAATCACTATAACATCAATTTTGTTAGCCTACTTTCATGTTGAATTTCTTATTACGGCTATACAAATTGGCACATTAAGTATTGCTTTTGGTACTAAATTTCTCAACTTAAGATCAAAGCAATCATTAAAATTTTTACAAGATAATTATCGTCCAAAACATTTTTCAATGATCAAATTTACATGGAATCATATTCACCGAGAATATGTCAATCTTTACCAACAAACAGCGTTGCTTGACAAAACACTTAGTTTTGTATTATACAATATGGAATTGATTTCGAAAATCTCATCAATAACAGCTTGTGTATTCTTTAGTCGTCAAATTAGTATGGGAATTTCTAATTCAATCATTTTTGGTTCAATGATAATGGTATTTGTTTATACAAGTGTTATATATTCACGATTAACATATTTAACTGTATTTAATCATCAATGCTGTCAATTATTATTAAAATTAATGGTAAGACAATCAATTATGGAGAATAAAATTAAAAAACAAACATTTATGCTTGTGACAAAAATTAAATCAAATTTGTTTCTACAAACAATGGAACATAATAAATTTGGCTTTCATTGCGGTCAATTATTTTTTATAACGAAATTCAAAGTTGTTGAACTAATCATGATGAATATACCATTAATTGTGTTGTTTTACAAAAAAATTTCAATAAATTAAAAAATTTCCTATACGATTTGTAGAATTGAAAATGTTGACAGCTTTACTTTAGAACAGGTTTTTATTTCAAAATTAAAAATTAAATTTTAAAACAATAAAAATTTTTACAAAAAAATGAAAATAAAAAATCATTATTACTTGAAATGAACTTCAAGGATTTTTTTTTGAGGAAACATAATTGAATATTTACACATAAGTTTTCATCAGGGCCAGATAAATTATTGAGGCGAAAATTGTTTATGAGACTGAATCCATACAAATTCATCAAAGTTGATAAATCAAATAAAAAGTATTCTATGTAAAATGAGGGTTTTCTTATGATATGATGAGATGAGAAAATCAATTTTTTTTAGAATTCAAAATACATCAATAAAAATGTCACATTTTAAACTATATTATCTCGTGATCAAATAATAATAATAATGGTAATGTCAGACTTTTAAAGGTATTTCGAGTCATTTGAACAAATTATTTGCAAACAAGATTTTGATATGAAAACACATTTAACTTAATACAAAAAATCACTCATGAATTATTTACGTCAAATACTTAGCCATTTGTTCACAATCATAATCACCGAATTGGCTAAATGGATACGTATTGATATGAACCAAACGATTTTTGAAATAATTCAATCAGAAAGTTATTATATCAATTTTTTTCTATGCAGAATTTGTTTTCGACAAGATGAATATGAAAAACATCGGATTCCATTGACATATCAACGATTAAAATATGCAATTTTCATCACTTCAAATGGATGGTTGGTGATTACACTTTTGACCATATATGTTTGCTCAAAAGAAAGCAATATTATCATCGATTATCACTATTTTGAAGAAATCTTGCATATTCAACGAGCAGATTTAGTGTTCGCTTGCATCTTAGGTATGCTTTGTATCGGTGAATATATGTCAATCGTAGTACTGTCAACAGTTCTCAAATATGAATCTCCATGGAATGATTTTGTGCGAAATAATTTCAATTTTCATAATCAACGACTAAAGTTAAAGAAACTGCAATATTTGAAGCAATATTATTCATCATTAAAAATTACAGGAATTATTTTGAGTGTTATTGTAATTCCGAGCATGATTTTGCTACATGTTTGGGACATCTCAATAGTAGTATGGGTTTATTTAAAAAATGGAATTACATCCATCCAACTGATATTCAGCATAATATTATTATTGTCAATGAATTGTCAATGAACCACATTGATCTACGATATTTAAAGCAATATCATTCATTACTGAAAATTGTAGGAATCTTTTTCTGTTCCGTAATGATTACAGGCGTATCCGTCCTTTATTTTAGTTCGATAATCCTAGTGATTTGGTTACAATACAAAAATAAAATTACATCAAATCAGCAAATATCCACTATAATATTAATTTTAATGGCTTATATTCATGTTGAATTCATGAGTACTGCTCTATTAATTGGCACATTGAGTATTGTTTTTTGTACGGAATTTCTCAAATTAAGATCAAAGCAATCATTAAAATTTTTACAAGCTAATCACTGTTCAAAACAAGTTTCAATGATCAAATTCACATGGAATTTTATTCATCGAGAATATGTTGATCTTTATAAACAAACAGCATTGCTTGACAAAATACTCAGCGCTGCATTATACTTTATAGAAGTGATTTCAAAAATCACCACAATGATAGCTTGTATATTCTATAGTCGTCAAATTACTATGGGACTTTATAATTCAATCATATTCTGTGGAATGATATCAGTATTCATTTATTCGACTTTTTTATATTCTCGATTAACATATTTACCTGCATATAATAATCGATGTTATCAATTATTACTAAAATGGATAATAAAACGTTCAATGAATGAAAATAAAATAAAGAAACAAACATTTATGCATGCAACAAAAATTAAATCGAACTTATTTTTACAGACAATGAGACAGAATAAATTCGGTTTTCATTGTGGCAAAATATTTTTCATAACAAAATTTCAAGTTGTTGAACTATTGATGATGAATCTACCATTAATTGTTTTGTTTTACAAAAAAATTTCAAAAAATGAAAAAAAATCAGATACAAATGTATAATTTATAGAATTAAAATTAAAATTGAATTTTTTAAAAAACCATAATTATACTTCTACATAAACTTGTTTGAACAAAACTTAATGAAAAATGTTCATAAATTTTGATAGTAATAAATTACTTAGAAGGATATCGAGTTTTTTTTTTATTCAACCATTCATTAGACAAAATCAATGGATTCCATACGAATTCTTTAAAGTTAATATATCCAAAGAAATTCATTCTTTTTGGCAAATAAGTGTATCTTTGTGATATAAGAACAAAAAGAAAATCAATTTTAAAAGTTGACAAATTATGAAAAAATGGATTTAAATTCATTTTCTTCAACTTTGAAAAATTCATTAATAAAAATAGCATACATAGGAAACCGATTTTGACAAAATAGTTGTACACAAGCTCCTGGTTTGAAAACACGTCTAACAATAACAAAAATCATTCATGGATCATTCAAGCAAAATATTTGGCAATTTGCTTACAATCATAATCATAAAATTGGCTAAATGGCTACGTATTGATAAGAAGAAAACAATTTCGGAAATAGTTCAATCAGATTTATATTATTTCAATTTTTTTCTATTCAGAATTTTCATCCAACAAGATGAGTATGAAAAACATTGTATTACATTGACATATCAACGAATTAAATATGCCATTTACATCACTTTAAATTGTTTATGGGTAATTATTATTATGTCAATTTATTTAATCTCGACAGAAAACAAAATCATTATTGACTTAAAATATATTGAAGAAGGTTTAAGTATTCAACGAGCTGATATAGTTATCATGTGCGTAATAAGTGTATTTTGTATATCAGAATGTGAATTCATTGGTCTACTGTCAAAAGTTCTTAAATATAGATCAGGATTTCATGATTTTATTCACAAATATCTTAATTTTAATGATCAACGTTTAACATCCAATGATATTCATTATTTAAAACAATATCATTTATCATTGAAAATTACAGGAATCATTTTCACTGTTTTAGTGATTCCGGGCTTGTCGTTTGTTTATCTTTGCGAAATAGGTTTAGTAGTTTGGTTTTATTTCAAAAATATCATTACATCAACTCAATTAATATTAACCACAATTATGCTTGTGTCATCTGGCTTTCATATTGGATTCCTTATTACATCTTTACAGATTAGTACATTGAGTGCGGCTTTTTGTACAGAATTTCTCAAATTACGTTCAAGACAATCTTTAAAATTCTTAAAAAGTAATCATTGTCCAAAAAGGATTTTAATTAGAAAATTTCAATGGAATTCCTTTCATCGAGAGTATGTCAATCTTTTTCAACAAACAGCATTACTTAATAAGACAATCAGTTTTCAACTTTATATCTGGGAATTGGGATCAAAAGTTTCATCAATAACAACTTGTGTATTTTATAGTCGTCAAATTAGTATGGGAATTTCTAATACATTCATATTCGGTGCAATGATATCGGTATTTGTTTATATAACTGGTTTATATACACAATTAACATATTTACCTGCATATAATCAACAATGTTGTCGATTATTACTAGAATGGATAGCCAGACAATCAATCAAAAATAAAACGAAGAAACAAAGAAAAATGATATATGCATCAATTAAATCAAATTTATTTACACAAACAATGAATCAGAATAAATTTGGCTTTCATTGTGGTCAAATATTTTTCATAACCAAATTCAAAGTAGTTGAACTAATTTTGATGAATATTCCTTTAATTTTATTGTTCTACAAGAAAATTTCTAAAAATTAATAAATATAATGATTTAAACCTGTATTATTATAATTCTTACAAATTCATTGTAATAATTTTCATTAAAATTGTAATAAAATGAATAAATCAATCAAAATAAATTCTTATTATAAAACCTGTATTCATTGAAATCTAACAATTTTTGTTGCCAAATCTATGGATTTACAGAGATCATCATTAAAATTCAATTCGATTTCCAATCGAAGGACAAGAAATAAATAAAAAAAACGATGATAATCTGATCATTGCAACTGGTTGGACAAGTTTTTTCTTCGCTCTCTCTTTAGTTTTTCGCCAGGCAAACTTGAAATTTTTTAAACATTGAAAAATTGATTTTTTTTTCACTCAAAGAAAAAAGTATAATTCAATGCGCTCTATTTTATAATAATAAAAAAAAAGAATTTTACAAAATAAAACAAAAATCAACTTACTTTCGTTTGGCCGATTTATTTTTCGGTTTAATTGTTGTTGTTGTTGATTGATTTACCATCATTGATGATGAAGATGATTTAACAGTCAATAATGGTACGGCAACCATAACCGTTGTTGTTGTTGTTGTTGTTTTTGGTTTAATAATCGATTCCATTTTAAACTAAATTAATTTTCATAAATCATTTAGAAGATGAACATTACACCCACAACATGAACTGAAACTATAATCTAATCTTAGATTCAATTAATTTTTTTTGTTTCTTCTTTACATTATATAATTCGGTGAGGATAATCTCCACAAATACGCATAAAGTATTAAAACAAAATAAGGAGAAATCTTTCAACAAACAGAAAAAACATCACATTACAAAAAAAAGAAAACAACAACAAAGAATGATTGTACAGCAAAGTGATATCGTATTGAGTTTTTTTTCTTTCTTTCTTCTGAAGCGATAATAAACTAGGTCATCACCATCAATTTACTCTTAACTTTAAACAACAACAACAAAAAAACATAACCACATTGAAGAACATTGAATAATTTTTTGTTGTGATAAAAAAGAAAAATTTTCGGGCAAAACAAAAACAAATTCCGGAATCGTTGTTGTTGATCGGTTGACTGTTATTGTCGTTAAAGGTGATGATTTCGTCTCAAACATTCGAATTCGAATGTTTTAAGAATCGTTCGATTTTTTTCCTCTCTGTTCAAATAATGTTGGTTGGAATCTTTTTTGTTTTTTTGGTGTGTGGAAGATTTTGAAGAAAACTGGGATTTTTTTTCTTGTTTAATGTCAAATAGTCATTTCTTTTCTTTTCTTTTTGTTGTTGAAACAAAATAAAAAATGGTTAAAATCAAAAGTTTGTTTGATTTATTTTTTGTTGACAGGATAGTAATGTTTGTTGTTTATTTGTCATTGAAACGATCGAAATGTTTAACAAAATCCAAGATACGAAATGATAATCCAAACAGATGATTTTTAATTCAATTCAATTCGATTTTATATTATAAATATTGATTGATCAATCAAAGTGTTTACAAATTGTCTATCTGTCGATTTGTTTTCATTATGATGATGATGATGATGATGATTATAAATCAGCGAAAAAAAATCACAACAAATCAAAACAATTAGGATTCTCAAATAGTCGAAACAAACTTGATGATTTTTGTTGTTGTTTTTGTTTTTTTTTCAAGATTCTTTCATAACTTATTTAACAAAAATCCATCAAAAATATGAAACGATGAATGTTGTTGTTCCAAATTAATTCATTTGCTCAAAAAAAAAAAACAAATATTATACTTTTCTTCATTTTCACGAACATTTTGTAAGAGAAAAAAAATCAATAATCAAACGAAGAAAATTTTGGTAAAAAAAATTTCTCATTTTTTTAAAAAAATCCAAAAATCCATATACTTTTTCAGTGGAAAAAAAAAGCACAAACACATTTTGAGGATAAGAGGGAGCGTTTTTTTTCGGTGCAAAAAAAAAGATAGACAGAGAGAGAGGAGGATGTTTATCGAATGTTTATCCAAAAAACAATAAAAAACAGTACATTTTTTTTGTGGTAGTGGTATGAATCCTTGATGAATCCCTGGATATAAAAAAAAAACATCCCGAACAAAAAAAACTAGTAGCATTGGATTTAGTTTGGGAAGAATCTTTTTTTTTTTTTTTTCATTTCATCATGCATGTTGTGTTTTCGTCTCATCAACAACAACAACAACATTCACAATCATCCTCCTCGAATATTTTGATTTTTTTTTCCTTGTCAATTTTTTTTTCGAAAAAAAGTATCCAATTTTTTTTCCAACAAAAATGATGTTTTTCTTTTTTCTTTTTCTATCTGCTATATTTGAATTAAACGTTGTTGTTGTTGTTGTTGTTGTTATTCGAGGAGAAAAAACCTAGAAGATTTGTTTTTATCATTTTTTTTTTTCAATTTTGTGTACACATCTTTTAGATAGATCAAGATAGGAGGATGATGATGATGATGATGAAAAGGCGTTTATATGTTAAAGATGAGAAGTGAAAAAAAAATCCCAACAAATAATGTTATTGGCCGTCGTGTTCTTTTGCATGCGCTTTAAACAGAGAGAGAGAGAGAGAGAGAGAGAAAATGTATATCGTCGTCGAATCGAATGGAAAACATTTCATTTCATTTGCCCTATTCATCTGTTCTTCTCCATTTCTGTTCTTTTTCTCTCTGTACTGCCACATTATATTGTCCTCTTCCTCATTGGATAAATCCAAAACAAAATAACAATCTGTAGATCCAAAACAAAATCTGAACGACTTTCAAAGCAAAGACATTATACAATTATGGACATGGAAAATGTGCTGCTGTCTGGTGGTTAAAATTTTTATTTACAAAAATAAGAATTTTTATCCTCGTGATTTTCGCTATAAAAAAATTGATTGATTGAGTGATTAGAAAAAAAAACTTTTTTTCAAAATGAACAATTCTGTTGACAGACAATCAATGATAATGATTATTATTTAAAAAAAACGAACAAAATTACAAGGACAGCAATCAATTATTATTCGATACTTGTTGTTATTTGAACATTTTAAACATCGATAGTTATACAACAGAATAATCGATTATATTCGTTCTTTACTTTTCAACATAAATGACTCCCACCAATCAAAAAAAAACATGTGATTTCCAAATATATATTCCTTTCAATCATTGTCATTATTATCGTTGAAAAAATTCTTATTAAAATTCAAAATTGTACTTTAATTATCAATCAATAAATCAATCAAACATAATCGCGATTGCAATCTTCATCGAAAACAAAAAACAATTTTTTTCCCTTTTTTTCTTATTTGTTGTTGTGAAAATCCAAAACAAAAATGATGAACAAAGTTGTCAATGGAATCTATAGTGTTTATATTATATCTAAATCTGGTGGTCTCATCTATAATTATGATGTTGAATCAAATTTTCCATTAACTGAAGTGGAAAAAACATTTAGTTTTCCATTGGATATTGTATTAGAATTTAATAATCAACGATTAACAGTTGTATTTGGTCAACGGGATAATATTAGAGGTATGTTGCTATTGTAATTATTTAAAAGATATGCTATGTTGTAACTGTCAAAAATTTCTTTTCCAAAAAAACAAAAGTTGGCTATTCATTATTGGCCATCAATGGTGATACAATTGTTGGCCGTAAATATAAAGATCAAGATATTCTTGATGATTTTCTTACGAATGAAGAAAATTTTCCCGTTAATCTTAAATTTGGTTGGCCACGTCTTAGTACAAATGAAAAAATTGTTATGGCATCAATGTTTCATTCAATGTATGCAATAGCTGCATTACAAATTATTCCAAGAAAATCATCATCATCTACAAATGATAATTTTCGTCGACATTCCAATAATACTGGTATTGAATATATGGAAACAAATAATTTTCGTCTTAGTTGTTTTCAAACATTAACCGGTGTAAAATTTTTAATCATAAGTGATCTTCGTGAAACAACAAATAAAGATTGGTTATTACGTAAAATTTATGAATTATATTCGGATTATGCATTAAAAAATCCATTCTATAAACTTGATATGCCAATACGTTGTGAATTATTTGATTTGAATATAGCACAATTATTGGAACAAAATGATCGTAATTTAGCCAGTGTTGGTGGTGGTGATTCATCATCAACATCGGCTAATATTTTCTAATTTATCATAATCATCTTTTTTTGTAAATAATAAATGAAATTTTTTCGAAAATAATAAAACTTTTATCAAATTCTTTTTAAAAAAATCGAATGTTATTTGGAATTTTTTTTTATTTCAGCTCTGCCATCTAGCGGTAAGAAAGATTGGCAACTTGTAAACGTTCGAATTCGAATATTTTTTTTTATGTTCGCGAACACAATCCAGATTCCTTTAATCATTATTTATCTTTGAAAATCATTTTCAATCAAAATAAATCCAATGGATGATCCGAAATCATTCCAATCAGTCATTTTTCATACAGCCAATGGAACCAAAATTGAAGTAACCGAAAGACAAATGGCTACAGTTCGTTCAATTTTGTGGCAAAATACTTCAGATTCAAATATGAAACAACAAGTCAATGAATGTACTCAAATAAAAACGAATAAATATTTTGATGATGATTATGATGATGATAAAGAAAACATTATTCAATCGTCTTCAATTGTAAACAACAACAGCAATTATGATATTTTACTTGATGATATTGATGATGATTTTTATGATGATATTTTCATATCATCATCAACATCAATCATTATGGACTCATTAAAAAATGAACCCATGAAAAAACGATATCTTGAATCATCGTCCAAACAATCACCATTATCTAAACGTAAACGCTCATCATAATTCAACTTTTAATTCAATTTTTTTTTCTTCATAAAATATAATTCAAATTTTTTTAATTTCATTATAATAATCAATGAAGCCAAAATTATAATAATAATATTATAAATGAAATCAATTAGTCAAATAAAATTTGTTTTCGTTTTTTGTTTCCTATTATCACAATTACTAATTGTAACATTTGTAAAATATGATTGATGGGTTTCGGATTGATTGATGGAATTTTTTTTTATTTAGTCCTACACAATCAAACAACAACATTGATTGATTGATTGATTGATTGATTGATAATCGATCCGAACCGCAGCACCATCAATGTAATGGCAACAAAAATTTTTTTCCGATTGAAAAAAAATTAAGGCCATACATATTTTTGTCGATTTCAGTTTTTTCGTATCAAAGTTTTTTCCATAAGGATGATTAGTGTACACACATATTTATCCATTTGTAATGATTAAAATGGTTCGATTGATAATGAATTAGCTGCTGATTGTATTGTATGTATCAATATGGGTAAATGTTTTTGTAGCCTTAATAATGAATGATGTAAATTATCATCATCATCATCATCGTCGCCATCATCATCATCATTATCATGATTAAACATTGTTCCCATTAATTGATCTAGTTCATCAATAATAGCTGGAAAAAGGCCACCACCATTACCATCATAATGATGTTTAGCCATTATTGTATTAATCATTTCGGCTGGTGATAATATTAAATGTCTTTTAAGATTATTTGATGGCAGACCACGATGATCAAGAAATTGTCTTTCAATTAACAATAATTTATCATTCATTTGTCGTATCATCAATGGACTGGATTTCCGGAAAGTAAACAAAAATAAATGATTGAAAACAACAAACAAACAAACAAGAAAAAAAACCTACTTATTCGTATTGATTTTATCCTGTCGACCATGGAATTTGATAGCTTCTTGGCTAAAATTTTTAATCGCTGATTCAAGTGATTCTGAATGGGGAAAAAAAACCCAAAATTAAGCAATCGTAGAGCATCTAAAGGGAGTCAGATGTTACTTACTTAGGTCCAAATCCATTTTGTTAAGAAATTCATCCGAATTAATCATTATCGTTGAATGATTAGATGTGGAATTTATTTCACCATTTTCGATTATCGATTCGATTATATTGCCATTATTTTTGTTTGAAAATGTTTGCCGTTGCTGTCGATGACGTCCATTGATAATAACATTATACATATGCAATGTTTTTACATAAAAATCATTCAATATTTGAGCAAAATCAAATAAATTGAACGGTATGAATGATGAATCGGCAAGATTTTCGACTAGATGTACTAATATTTGTGCAATTGTAACATGATAACGATAATCTGGATCAATAAAATTTTCCAATGCTTCAATACGATCATATTGACTATGTAATAATGGATAAGGCATATGATTTATAGTAATATGTTCAATATCATCTTCAATATCAATTTTTTCATCATTATCATTATCATCGATATTGATAAAACTAATATCGGCAACAGGTATACCGGCCATTGTATAGAATGGTGCATATGAACCATACATATCTAATGGTCGTACATGTGGTCGTACCTCTTGAAATGCTGATTCTAAATATGTTTTTAAAATCGATCCTGGATCGGCTGATTCTTGACGATGAAATTGTTGATGATTTTTTTCCAGAATTTCTTTTTCATCAATCGTATCGGTTTGATTTTCAATATCAAACATTTTCATCGAATTAAAAATGTTTGGTTGAAATATTAATGTTGATTTATTACGCATTTTAGGCATCGATACTATCCATTTATCATAGATTGAATTGAAATTATCTTGTTGTTTGATTGATGATGATTGTGATGTTGATCGTCTTGGTAGGAATACATCTTTTGTTGCATTAAAAATCGAATGATACAGTAATGGTGATGCAGCTACACTAAGTGTATCATTGCCATTTACCTGTAAATGAAAAAAAATTTAACACTAATTCAATTTGGAAATGAAATAAAACTTACGACTAGATTAACATTGATATAAGCAACAGCTCTCATATAAAGTATTTTATAAAAATCTTCAACAAATTCAGTCGAACCAATAAGATTAAATTCTTCACTACCCCAACTACAAAACATTAATGTTCGACGTGGTCGCCAACCACCACCACCACCATTAACAATCATATCACCAAATACACGTGCCATTTCCATAAATGTACCTGTACCGCTTGCCGAATCAATAGCACCCATTGACATTGAATCACGTTGATTACCGATAATAACATAACGATCCGGTTCATCATTTCCATAAATCATACCGATTACATTATAAATTGTTTTTCTAACCAATCGATTATTAACCGATATACGAATTTTAAGATTATCTTTTAATTTCGTTCCAATACGATAGGTAACATTAAGACCGCCTTTCCATTCGTTTGGAGCAATCATTCCATCCATATGTTGAAAAATTTTTTCCGCAACTTCATAACTGATTGGTTGTGCAGGCATTGTTAATTGTCGTTCTGGATGAAATCGATTACGATAGGCATATGAATTGGATGGTAAACCGAATGTTTCTGGATCACCAGCACCATTCCAAAATATACCATCATTTCGAATACCATCGGATGGTAACCATAATGAATCGGGAAATGGTTTTGATTGTTTTGGATTATAATGTTGTGGATCAGGATAAAATAATAATGCCGATGCATTTAATGCTGATGCATATCGATATTGTTCACTTGCAGATAAATGAAATTGTTTGACAAGAAAAATTTTTCCATTAAATATATCATTATTGGTTGTATTGAATAGATTTTGTAATTGAATAAAATCAACTGGACGGCCATAATTAACAAATAAAATATCTCCAATTATATCACCATTCGGTGAATAAGGACTAAATGGTAAAGGCTGTTGTTTTTGATTGAATGTTTGTAATGATGAATATAATTCATTATGAGTTATTGAATCGATTATTGATACAAAATTTGGCCTATTTGAATCAGGCAATGATAATAATGCAGAATAATTTTTCAATGAAACATGATCAAAATGATTATGATTAAAATGATCACGAATTTTGATTGCTAAATTTAAATCTTCTTTCGAACTAGCTAAATGTGGTTGCCGAGAAAATTCTCGAACATTTGTTCGAATATTTTCCGAACTGATACTGGCCAATAATTGTGCTCGTCTTAATGATGATTCGCCAACAAAATGTGATGTTGATGAATGATTGATTCCATCAAATGATGATGAGATCACTTTGTTTTGTAAACAATCATTTTGATATAATTTTTGATGATTCGAATGACAATAATATCCTAATAAAAAACCAAAAATTCCTATACCAACCGAAATCGATAAAATCAATATGAATGAACGTTTATTATGATAAACATGATACGGAATAGTTTCGGTTGTTTTTTCATAAATCTGTATGGCTGGTTCATGTTCAGGCCAACCAATATGATCAACATCGGTACATTCTTCGTCTTTGATCAATAATGATTCGAAACGAAAAAGAAAATAGAAAAAGAGAAAAAACTTCATTAATCAATCATAAATTCTGTTGTCAATATATTTACCTCGATATGGACGATATTGAGCTGTCAATGTCATTTGTATTTTTGATTTCTTCTCGCACAACGAAAAAAATAGAGAGAACAATTATCGATCAAAATCAAATTGACCGAAATATCATTGGGAGAAAAAAATAAACGATCTAATTTAATTTCTGATTTTTGCCAAAAAAAAAACAATCCAAATACTGTAATGAAAAAAATAATCAATCGGAAATTAATTTATTCATTAAAATATTTTTGAATTGTCATCGTTATTGAATCAAAATTGTTGTTGTTGTTGTTGTTGTTGTCGTTATCAAATCACTAAACAATATGATCCACAATGTTGATTCGTTTGATTTTACTCGACCGTTTCAAAAAAAAAAAAAAAAAAAAAAATCAACTATATTGCATTATCAAAATAATGATTAACTTTGGAACAATATTTGTCATCTTTTTTATTTCGATTGGATGCGCAAGTCTCTCTGGTCCAAATCTATAGAAATTCTTGAGATTAAAAAAAAGTGGAATGAATGAATGAATCGAAAAAAAAACATCGAGTATTCCAGAAATAATTCATAATGTTGACATACCCACACACACACAAAGTTAACCGAATGTTCTTATTTGACAATAACAACAACAATAACAACCAAATAGAAAAAACACTACATAATGATGATGAATTTCAAGGAAAAATAATATGATTAAGTTAGACTTTATTCAAACGAAAAAAAAAATATTACCAGAAAATATTTCTTCTTTTTTTTCCGTTATTTTTTCCAAATGATAACGGGACTTTAAATAACACACACAAAACAATGTAAATTTAATTAATTTTTTTGTTGTTGTTGCAGGAAAAACAAAAAAAAACTTAATTCTGTTGTTTTTCTGTTGTTTTGAAATAAGAGATTATATTATGGAATCACAAGCAAAACATAAATACAAATGATGATGGTGGTCGACACCTACGCGTTATTCTTGGAGAGGAAAACAAAGTTGATCTGTTATTTTTTTTTCTGCTTTTTTTTGATTCTTCTTAGCAACAACAACAACAACAACAAATTCAAATCAACAACCTTTTTTTTTTTTTAGTTTGATTCCGAAAACTAAAAATCTGATGGCATTATTTTTGGTGAGTTTTTCTTACTCTCTCTCCATATGGTGTGAGTGACCGACGACCTTTTTTTTCTCGTTGGTGATAGTGGTGGTGGTGGTGGCCGAACCAGATCTTCTATATTGAGAGAGAGACGAGCAAAAAAAAAGACAATAATAACCAGGTGTGTGTGTGTGAATGAATTCAACAATGGATTGAATCGGTTCAGGTGTGGTGTCATCAATTTGATAATGATGACATTACAATTTTGTTTCTTTCTAATGATGATGATAATGATTGTTTGAAGAAAAAGAAGAAAAAAAATTTCGTATAGGGTGTTGACATTTTTTGAGTTGTTTTTTTCACGGAAAAAAAAAGTTTTTTTTTGAAAATTTCAATTTAATCGCGATCCACACATTCATTCATTCATTCATTTCTCTTTTGAAAAAGTCAAAGAAAAAATCGTTGTTTGCGGAAATAGAAGACAAAAACAAGTACTGTTCAAAAATGAGATGACGATTTTTTTTCGTCGAAACATCTGCAGATGAATAATTGAAAGATTATTGGTTGGTCATCCGAACAAAAAAAGGAAAACAAAGAAAGGTTGTTGACATTTGACCATGGTTTGACAGAAAAATATTTCAAAAAAAAACAAAACAATTCAGAATTTTTCTTAAAGCTCGTAATTTATTTATTTTTGTCATTATTTTTTGTATCAAAAAAAAAAAAATCATTTTAAAATTAAATAAAATTTAACAACCCAGGCAGAAGAAAGGAAGAAGAAGAAATATTTTCTGCCTGGGAAGATTCAATCATCGAAATTCAATCTTTAAAATTTCGTTGTTGATTGACTAATTATCGTTATTGTTGATAAACAAAATTCTATTCTTTTCAATAAAATTCCAAAGCCGTAATTCATCACCCAATGTTAGATTTAATTTACGAAGATCATCACGACCAATAAATTCGAATAAAACTTTTCGATCAATATCTTGACGAATTAACTAAGACGACAATAACAACAGAAAAAAAAGAAAAGAAAAGAAAATGGTAAAAAAAGTTAGTGAAATTTAAAAAAAGAATCATCATTTAACTTACAGCATCAATTGTCGAACGATTAATATTTTCATTTTCCAACATTTCAATCATTGTTTCATCTTTGCTACTTGATTTTACTTCATCATCATCATCATTATCATCATCGTGAACAGTATTCGTTGCTGAATCTATGAAAAAATTCGGTCGATTTTGATTCTTAACTTTTTCAAATAAATTTTTTAATACTTCATTCTGTTCAGTAAGATATTCCAAAAATGTATCGGATAATAATTTAACTGTACGATTATTTTCTAATAAAAGATGATAAATTTCTTGTTTAAAATGATCAGATGATTTTATTAATTGCATATTAAATAATGATTCTTGCGAATGTTTAAATATATTGGTTATTGATGGTGAACCATCATCACCACCACCTCCACCAGTTGCTGTTAGAATCAATTGATGATGATTAATATCGGCCGAATGTGGTACAGTTGCATCACTACCAGCCATTTCAATTTCAAATACATTTTTAAAACATAAATGTAATAATCTTTGTGCTTCTTGTACACTTTCACGTATTAATGAATCTAATGCAAATATCCAATGTGGTGGTATATTTTGTATTTTCAAAATTGAATCAATTGCATCTTGAAAATAATAAATTGCTGTTTGTAATTGTTTGAATAGAAAACGTTTTCGTTCATCTAAATCTTCGATTGATTCTCGTTGTTGTTGTTGTTCAACGGATTCTGGTTCTGGTTCTGACTCTGGATTATCATTATCATCATCATCATCATCATTTGTTGATTTAAAAATATTATTAAATTCATTTGCTAATGAATATAATGCATTCATTAGATATAATGTATTTTTATTTGTTGAAATATAATCACGAAATCCAGGAAATAATACATTCTGTATATGTCTGGATTGTAATAATAATTGTTGTTGATCGGGCCAATTTTCAATTAAACGTCTCCACCAAACTTCAGTTATATCTTCAGTATTTGTATCTAATACTTGTGATAAACTTTTTTGTATATTATGTTCATTCATTGTTAAATCATTTGGTGTTGCCGGATATGTTATTGATGATCCGGATAATAAAATATTTGGTGATTTTTCATCACCACTTGAATTTTGTAAATTTTGTATATTTAATGATAAATTTGATTGTAAACGATTTGGATTTTTACTAACACCACCACCACCACCACCGCTACAACCACCACCAGCGATTGTTGATGGCATTGTTGCAAATGGATTCATATCCTGTAAACTATCCATTGAATTTGGTGTATTAGGTTCACCATTACTACCACCATTATTTTGTTGTACGGTTATAACATCTATTGCATTATTTGTATTTTGATGATCATTTGATGATGATTTTGGATCATATGGCATCGATACTGAACGATTAAATTCTACTGACATACGATTTGTTTGAACTTTATTATTATTTTTTGGATGTAATTGATTAGCTGGTTTACGTTTTCTTGATGATGATGATGATGAACCACATTCCATAAATTGTGTTTCCAATAATTCTGCAGCTATTGGACGTTTAGCTGGATTTGGTTCAAAACAACTTTCAATAAAATTACGACATTTTTCCGATAATGTTCCAGGTATTTCAGGATGTTGTTTAAAATAACCAACTTTAAATATAACTTCATGACCAGAACTTAATTCAATAAATGGTGTTTTACCTGTTGCCATTTCAACAACAGTACAACCTAATGACCAAATATCAGCAGGTGCTGCATAACCACGTGCACCTTGATCAATAACTTCAGGTGCCATATATTGAAATGTGCCGGTAAATGTTTCGGTTCGTGGATTTAATCCGGCCAAACGTTTTGATGTACCAAAATCTGATATTTTAACATCACCGGTATAAGTATTAACAAGAACATTATCACCTTTTATATCACGATGTACAATATTTTGGCTATGTAAATAATGAAGACCATCCAAAATCTGTCGAGTATAATAAATGATTGATGATTCTTTTAATGGACCCCATTTAAAACGTAATAACTGTGATAATGAACCACCAGGTACACGTTCCATTAAAATTTTAAAAACACCTGCTTGTTCATCATTAATTGAACCAATATATTTAACAATATTACGATGTTTTAATTGTGAATGTAATTTAATTTCTTCCTGTAATGGTTGTACTTCATCTTTATTTTTTATCGGTATTTCTTTAACAGCAATAGCAACATTATTACTATCATGTGCTGCATAAACAGTACCATATGATCCTTCACCAAGTTTAATTTTATTCATTTTTTCATCATAATCATAATCAAATTGAATTTGTATAGATTCAATTGATCTTGAATCTAAATCTAAACATTCTTCATTGGCAGTTATATCCAGAACAAGTTCATGAAAACGTTTACGATATTCATCCGAAGGAAAAAACATTTGAAAATCATCGGATAAAACATATAGGAAAAGACAACGTTGATCAGATTTATACATACTAACACCACGTATTTTTGATGAATGAAATAACCAATTATGTGGTCGTCGACATGAATCTGGATTACGAATACATTCTTTACAGATATTATTAATTTGTAATGATTTTCCATCTTGATCTTGTTGATTAACAGTAACATAACTTGGTATTAATGATTTATCAATTTCCTGTATGATAACTGGAAATCTAATTATATGACTAGCCTGATCTTTAGCCGCTTCAATAAAATATTCCATCCAAAAACGAAATAATTCTTCTTCGGGTGTTAATCGTGAATCTTCCGGTTTTTTACGAAAATCATTTATTAACTGTATATTACGTAATGTTGAATTTAGATACCATTTTGGTGGTTTTAAATTAAACATACATTCGGCTGCTTCATTAGCTTTCGTATAATTTTCAGCTAAAACAGATATTTCTAAAAATGTTGCAACATCCCAATAATCTTGTATTGATTTTAAATTTCCTTTACGACCAATCAAAAGATTTAGAACAGAGGCGATTTCTTTAAGCTCGGGTGAATTATTCAGATCATCACCTTTAATAACTAATAATGTTGCAAGATTAATACCTGCATGTTCATTTGGTTGATGATCAAAACCTTTACGATACCAAATAATTGCCTGTTCTAAACTTTCTTTATCCTGATATTGTGATTCAATAAATTTATCTTTATAAATACGTCCAGCTAAACAAATTGAATCAGTGAATGGTATTTCATCGATTGTTTCATGAATTTTTTCCAATGCACGTTCACGATCACCCGATTGATTACGACGATTCAATGCAAATGAATACAGATATTGAATGACTGGTGTAAATTTAAAGGCAAATTTTGATGATTGTACTTCTTCAATTAATGATACCATTGAATCATAATCTTGTATTTCACGATATGAAACAAGAAGATTATAAACAATATCAGCCGATATAAGACAAGAATTATTTTCTAATTTTCTACGAAAATCATTCAATGTTTTTGTTAATTCATCACGTGGTAATGTTTCGCGTGCTTTACGTAATTCTGATAGAAATTTTTCCTTTAAATGTGTTCTATATTAATTTAAAAAAAAAATTCAATTTCAATCAAATAAGATCAGGATTTTTTAAAAAAATTTCTTACTTGGTTTGTACTTCAACATGTTGCAAAGCATTTCGTAGTTTTGTACTGAGAAGAATTTTCGTTTCACATGATAATGGTGTTGGTCGATTGGTTGTTGCTGCGGCTACCGCTGCCGCAGTTGTTGATGTTGATTTTGGATTTGAATTTTTTCGTAAACTATTTTTATCCGGTACAGATTCAGTATAATAACATTTTTTATCTACAGGCGATAAACGATAACTAATCAAATTAAATGTTGATATTGGTAAATTTGGCGGTATGGTTACTTTCAATAGATCATCATTATATATTAATATATTATATTTCATTCCAAAATTTTCACGATTACCAATACGATAAAATAATGAATGTTGTTGATTTTGTATGGAAAGATCAACAATAGCAACATCGGCTGCATGAAATGCATCGATTGCATTAATTTCATCAAAATCTAATTTATGAAATGCAATCAGCTGATAATTTGCATTGACCATATGACAGGCTTTTTTAATCTCTTCAAATGCAGCCATACGATGTGATAGATTGCCATCTTTGATTTGCTATAATTTAAGAAAGAAAGAAAAAAATTGAAAATCTTTATCAAAAAAATCAAGAATCATCATCATTATCATACCAGATCGATAACGATTGCAACATCGATTTTTGGTTTCGAATTTGTCGATTCTTTTGATGGACTTTTTTTCGAATCAACAGCAGCCGTGGCTGTTGTCTTTGTTGTTGTTGGATCTGAAGTTGTAGTTTCAGTCGACATTTAAATCATTTTGTTGTTTGTTGATCCGAAATTTCAGAATTTTTCAGAATTCAAGATGAAAGTTTTTTTTTTGAAAATAAAGAAAAAGGAAAGCAAGTGTTGTTTGAGAAAGAAAAAAAACCAGTTTTTTGTTTGCACTTCGACTCGTCGAATACAGAACATAAAAATTCCTTTGAAAAACAAAACAAAACAATCAAAAAATGCACCAATCAATCAAAAAGAGTAATCAAAAAAATTCATTCATTCAAGGTGAAAAGTTTCAAAAAAATTTCCAAATAAAATTCTTTAAAGTTAAAAAAACTTATGTTTGTTTACGATTAACAATCCAAATAGATAACTCTTTGAAAGAAGAAGAAACTTTCTCTCTCCTTTGATGATTCGCGAATATCTGTGTGGAATCAGGATTTTTTTCTGTTTTGCAAAATTTCTTCAGGATTTCTTTTCAATCCGGGTTACATTGATGATGATTCATCCTTGTTGTTTTTTTTCATATATAAAAATCTTGAAAGATATCACCATACACCAAAAACAACAACAACAACCCAATTCAAAATAGAGCCACTTTTACTTTTTTTTTCATAATCAATTGGATTGTATACTTGTCGTTGCTCTTTTTTTTATATTTAATCTTTGCATTTCTTTTTTTCTATATATAAATTTTTTTGGCTTCATAATTGTTGTTGTTGTTGTTGATATTAGGATATTCACCATCACCACTATCACCATATATAATCTTTGAATGGATTTTGTTGTTTGTTCGTTTGTTTTTTTTGGGAATTGAGTTTGTGTGTGTGTGTGATATACCAATATAATACTTTTGCTACTACTAAATTTATAGCTATGGATACCGATGATCATCATGATCATGGTATCATCAATGATGATGATCATAACCATCGTCGTCGTCGTTGTCGAAGTCAATGACAATGGATAATACATTTTTGATTATCATAAAAAAATAATGAAATTCATTATTTGAATATTTATTGCTAGATGGCGTTGCATTCATCATTTTGGAAAACATTCGAATTTTTTTTTGCAAACAGGAAAAAACATTCGAATTTCAATTTCCAAAAACGACCATCGAAACAATTCTTCATTATGATCGCGATGAACAAATTGGTTGGTATTTTGGAGAAGAAAAATCAACCAGAATCAAATAAAAAGAAAGGTTGTTGACATTTAACCAGATTGACAAATTTTTTTTTGTTTTGTTTTGTTCAAATCCAATGACCAAAAATGAAATGAACACAGAGGAATATAAAATAAAAAATCTTACCCGAATTGCATGCTTTGTGATCATAAACATTTGAATAAAATGAGCCAAAAATGATGATAGTTATCGATTTTACTTCCTGATGATGATGATGATGATGATTCTTTTCAAATGGCAAAAAAAAATACAATAAAAGTTTAATTTTATCTTTTTTTATATGGTGGGAGTTTTTTTTTCATTCTTTCTTTGGTAACTCTACCAACAAACCGTGTACCAGAAGAAAGAAATATTCATTACAAATTCTAGAGAATTTGTACAGGTGAAACAGATATAGAAAGAGAGAATATTCTTTTCATTTGTCGTCATTTTTTCATTGTCTTTGATCGTTTTTTCTTTGTTTGTTTGTTTGTTTGTTTGTTTGATAATGATGAAGATAAAACTTTACTTTACTTTTTCCATTATATAGACCGATCAACAACAACAATAAAAAAAATATGAAATTTCAAAAATAAAAAATGTAAAGGTTTCGCTGGTAACAACAACAGAATTTATTCAACAAAAACAAGGTAACCATAGTGACACCTGTACATTGTTTTTGAATTTGAAATTCATTATGAATGGGGAAAAAAGAAAATTATATACAATGAAGAAAAGATGGAGAAAGACTGAAGAATGTCTGTTTGATAGATTCATCCATCATATTTGATTCAAGTAATCATCAGCGATTTTTTTATATGTTTCTTTTCTGAAAAAATTATTCTTTAACCACACTGATGGCCAAAGAAAAATGTTTTTTTTGTGATTGTTTTGCTTCCAAAAAAATTTCCCGATTGAAATAGACTAAATATGAATATATCATTAATTAGTGAATATAAAATTTCATTTATATTACAAAGAATATTTCAAACATTTTTTGGTGGTTTACAATTGAATAATAATAATAAACAAAATGATTCAAAAACAACCGATACAAATGATGTTTCATCAACAAATCATCATGGTGGTAATCTTATTACAAATGAATCGTCAACATCTTTATCATTAGCGACAACAACGACAACGACGAAGACAGCATCATGGATTATTCAATTATTCATATATCTATTTCCATCTTGTATTGGTATGATTATATCGATATTAATCGATTTATTATTGATCGATTCATATATTGGTATATTATGTGTATCGGTTTTTGGTTTCATTTTTACAATGATCATGAATATTCAGCCACAAAAATCCGCAAATAAAACACGTCCATTAATCTATGATGGTCAATGGCCAACAACAGATAATCAAACATCTATTCAAATGTTCAAACAAAATCATCCAAAACCGAATGATCATAATAAATATTTGTCGAATGTTAAAACGATTCGACAATATCAATCACAAATAATTTTGATTATAATTGCTCGAAGTTTAATTTCATGTTCACTTCTTGGTATGATGACCAATTCATTTGGATTAAAATCAATTAAATTTCATAATCAATCTGATGATATAATAGCAATTTTCATAATGATTTTTGTATGGTTTACATTTACAACTGTTCATTATTCATTGATTATTGGTGCACCACCTGAAACAACAGCATATTCAATAAAATTTCGTTCAATTGATAGTTTTAATCGTTCAATTTATATGCTCATATTATTATTGACCGTGACATTTATACCTAATCAATCAATATATTCTACAATAACATTGATTATTTGTTGTTTACCATTTCTTTGGTTATTAGGTATATTACCACCAATTCCATCATTAGTATTCTATATTCTGGAACAGATTAACATCATATTGTTAGCCGGTACTGCAACCTGTTATATATGGTCATCATTTATAACAATATTATTTTCATTTACTGCCATTATATTAAATCATTTCTATTTTACCGGTAGAAATTATTTTCTTATTAATTTAATAATCGGTTTTTTATCAAGTAATAAATGGTTATTTACTATGAATCAATTACATCGTTGGCCATATCTAATCAAAATAATCATATCAATCAATTCAATGATTGCCATCTGTTGGATATCAAATGATTTTTTATCAATAATTCAACAAGAATTATTTGAAATTCTTTTCATATTATTGATTATTGTTCATTTGGTTAAATATTTCAAAATGATTTATTTAATGAATATGATTAAAAATCCATTGAATATGATAATGTCGACAAGATTTTTTCACAGAATATATTCCAATTATATATTCATAATGATTATAAGAATTTTTCTACATCTATTCATACCGATCGTTTGTTTAATGTTAATTTTACAGAAATTAGATAATAATGATCGTATTTTAAATCAAACAATTACCATAAAACATTTTCTATTTGATATTCTTGTATTTCGTATGTTTCGTCATTGTTGGCAATATCCATATCGTTTTGGCTTCCAAACAATATTCATTATTATTTTGGATACAATTTATCATTCATTTAATTATAATCATCATCATCATTATAATAATATAATTGCCAACATTAATGAATGGCCATTAGAAGTGAGATATTTTTGTTTGGATATAATACGAATGTTTTCGATTGATTTTTGTCATAAATTCTATATGGTAATTACTATTCTATTTACATCTGTAATGTTACGTAAACAAAAAATTCGTTATAGTTGGACTATATTCAGTAAGTTTTTTCTGTGTAAATATTCTAATTTTTTATCATTGTTTTCTTCTCATTTTTTAAAATAGTAATAAATGTGATATTATTACCTATAAATATTATCATTATAATCATATCCAGTATGCTCAATATACCGATACTTCCATTATTTACATTACCTATTTTTTTACCATCATTTCCAAGACCAATGAAATTTTGGTCAACCACTCCGATGATGTTACCAATGACAATTGATGATACAATAAATGATGCAGCCTATTATCGACAATTAATGCCACGTTTAATTGATTCATTACATAGGAAAAGTCTTTTTTGGGATTTTCGTCATGCCGGTGAAATTATGTTAGCTAGATTTGATGATCGTTTAATGTGGTTTCAAGTATTAGAATCTGGTCATAATTATTGTCAAATACAAATGAAAGGTCTTGAATTACAGGAAACATCTTGTCATACATTAGAAGCATCAACAATCGATCAAATCAATGAATATTCATTTCATAATAATTTTAGTACATTTTTTAATAAATATTTTTTCTATGCTATTAATCCAATGACCAAAGCAACAGTAAAAACTTATTCGGATGCAACCAGTGTTCTGACCGGTATTATTGATTCACCGGATACATATGTTCGAATCAAACGTTTATTTTGTCCAATATTTATATGGCTACTGTTACAGCATAAAATTCGTTTAATTCTTGATGAATTCAAACAACAAGAACATCAACAACAACAACAACAAAATAAAAATGATATAAACATACAGATGGTTAAAGAATCACAAATCAATATAATTGTACCATCCGATTCAGTAATGGATAATCATCGTTCTTCTTCAAATAATAACGGTGATAATAATAATGGTGAACGACAAAATCATTCGGCTACTTCTTCTTCATCATCATCATCATCTAGGAATAATAACAATGGTGAAACATTGAAAAAATTCAGCTATGATGATCTACAACCAAATATACAATGGACAAATTTTAGTTATCAAATTTCACGTAAACGTAAATCCATTCAACATCGTATTAATCGTTTTATTTATTCAAATGAATGGTTTTCAAATGTTTTACAAATTTTAACCAATAATAAAGCAATATTGACGGAAAATGAACTTGAATCATTAATATTATCATATAATCAAATAACGAATATTTGTTTTACAATAATATTTCCAACGAATAAAATTGTTGAAACATCAATGTCACAATGGATATATGAAATGTTTAATAGTCAAACAATGGCAAAAGATTCAATGATTGATGAAAATCTTTTCGATATTGATCTTAATCAAATTTGTCTACAAAGTATACGTTATGCAACAAAATTAGGTTTTGATCAAATGATTTTCGCAGAAGAAACATTAACCGATGAAGAAATTATTAATAATTTAAAAGAATTTGATCAAAATTGGTATTTTGGTTCGATTGATTCACCGGAATGGCGTGATGCAGTATTGGCCGAAAAATTACAATTATTTTCCATTTCCAAAGATGTTGTAAAGGTTTGTTATAAGGTTAAAATAGTATTTTTTCTCAACATAACTGACTAATTGTTTCCTATTTTCAAATCAGGAAATCTATCAAAGTCATATGTTAACATTAAAAGATATGGATATTTTCATTTGTTTAATTAATCGTTCAGTTGTTGATGCAATTTGGTCATCATTATCGTTTGAATTATTCTATTTAACTAATGATGATGAAGAACGATATTCAATACAGGCACATCAATATATTTTTCGTAAGAAAAACAAAACAAAAAATTTTCCATTCAAAATTCATGGAAGTTTTTCTTTTCTCTTTCCCCACCACCACCTCACATAGGAAATCTAACCGTACAAGCAGCTGATCCACCGCTTGGTTATCCAGTTTTTGCTTCCGAACCAATTCTAATTTCGCATATTATCTGATTTTTTAGGTGTCAAAAAAATTCCAAAAATCTCTTCATTAAGAAAAATTCATTGATTAAAAAAATTCAAGAATAAAGTTTTTCATTTCTGGAAAAATTGTTCATAGATGGCGTGAGTGATTCAGGAAAAAAAATCAACAGGTTACAAAAATGTATACGGAATCTATCTATGTGAATAAATAAAACACACAAGAAAGAAAGAAAAACATCGATAAAAGAGCGGAACATTCATATTTATAGAATGACATGAACCGAACGACCGACCTACCAACCAACCAACCAACCGAATGAATGCGATAATAATAAAGAAGTATCTAATCTCTAACCGGTTATTGGTATTTATTTTTGGCTGTTATTTTTTTTTCCTTCATTCATTGATCGTTCAACGATTCGACCATTCGAAAGACTTGTGTAAAGAGAGAGAGAGAGAGAGAAAGAGAGTTTACCCGAATTCAGGATATCTAAAATGGAAAAAAAAGAAAACACAAATTTATGTTTAGAATATGGCAAGCTAATGGCCTTATTTCTGTATAAAGAAGTCGAAGGAAGAATGAAAGAAAGAAAAAAATGATGATAGAAAGTTACTGAAAGAATGAAATACTAGTTTTTGTTGAATACTGTTGTTTCATTTACTATCACCATTGAACAACAACCATCATCATCATCATTATGAATAGCAGCAAACAGCAAAAAAAAACTATTTAGGTATTAAGCAAAAGTTAATGTTGTTATACTATGTTATTACTATAACGGGTATTACATTGCAACAACTGTGCAAAATGAAAAAAATTCATCAAGGCTGATTTGACCGAGATTTGAGTTTTTTTTCGGTTTATACGAGATTTAATTTGTTCGACATGGGTATGATGATGATGATGATGATGATGATGAATTGATGGAAAAAGCTCCGAGATAAAGTAAGTAAAAGAAAAAAAAATTTCGGAAGGAAAAAAAAGAAATATGAGTATGAAACAAGGTGGAAGAAACATGGTCCAGTTTTGTTGTTGTTGTTGTTTCTCTTTAATTATAACAGCAAAATATTCATCATTATCATATAACGGGACAGCGAAGAAGAAGGAGAAGGAGATATGAAGATTCAACCTGATATAACATGTTGAATGAATGAATGTAAAAACATAACAAGATTATATAACCAAAATTTATGTGTTTAGTGTAATGTAATGTAATGAACCAGAAAAACGAAGTAGAAATGTTTTTTTTTAATATCAATCTCATTGCCACTGTTGTGTTGAAAATTCGGATATGATGATGATGGAAACAGCAAATATTTTAACAGTTTTCCAAAAAAAAAACAATATCTAGTTCATTCCAGTTCCGTTTTGATTCGTTATTTCTTTCATTTTATCAAAATTGATTGATTGAAAGGCCAAGCAAAAGAAAGAAAATTAATTTGATAATTAATCCAAGGTTTGGAGATTAAGAAAAATGATGTGCCAACAAAAAAAACTTTAAGCTACTGGTATTATTTTCATTATCTAATCTAATTAATAATTAACTTGAATAAAATAAAAAAACATGAAAAAAATATATTCGGGTAGAACGTGACGCCAAATAATGTGAAAAAGAAGAAGAAAATTGGCCAGATATCCTTGGCCAAATTTATCCAAGAAAAAAACTTAACATTTCATAAGATTGATTGTCATTGAAAATCTATTGTTTTTCTTACTTCTTGTAATTCATAAATCTTCAGATAGATATTCAGTCAATTTGGTCACGAATTATATCATCTATATTGAGAAGAACAAAAAAAAAATCGATTGAATTACATTACATTTTTTTTCTGTTATTTAATGAGAAGGAATGTAAAGAGAAAAGCAGCTGAAATTATTTATCATTAAACGTCAAACACAACATACATTATCATCATCATTATCATTAAAAATCAGCTATTTTAACAGAAATTGATCCATCTGGCCATTCGACCCAATGATTCGTTATATAAAAATATCATACATGAATTTAAAATAGCCTCCACCATATAGTGATTCTAAATTTAGAATCGTTTGTTTTTTTTTTGCCAAATAAAATGATTATGATGATGATGGAGAGAATAAAGAAGAAGACGAAGACGAAGAGAATGGTCAAACAACATATTTACGAATGAAACGAACGAACAACCAACAAATCGAATCGATGAAAAAAAAGGAATGGAAGAAAAAACTTGTTCTTTGATCATTATTCAAAAAGAAAGAAAGAAAAGAAACCTTAAACTAACGGTCGTTGTTCTAAATTCAGATTGAATTCAGTTGGTCTATTCCGTTGATTGTTACTTTGGTTGAAACAAAAAAAAAGAGCTGCGGCTATTATCATCATGATTCTCGGGGAAGTTTTCCTCGAATGAATGTGATTTTTATCGCTGAAAGATGTGCGAAAATAAGAAAGAAAAAAATTTCATAATTTAAATTTTCAATTCGGTTTTTTGTGTTTTAAAATTGTTTTTTTTTCTTTATTGACTTAAACATTTTGTATGAATGAAAAATTCCATTCTGATCATGACCTACATAGTTTTCAGAAAAAACGATTTTTAAAAGGGATAATTTAATGATTCGATAAACGGTTTTCCAATCATAAAACCTTTAGCAAAGAAAAGAAGAAGAAAAAGAAAAACTAACTAACTAACTAACTAACGAGCTAACTAATTAACTAGATTTGTTCAAATTTAAAATTATTCAAATTAATCCAAAAATGAATTTGTTCTTTCTCTACCTTTAACCTGAATTTGGGTATTTAACAAAATTAAACGATTCAGGTTAGAAAGAAGAAAGAAAAATATATGAGAATTTCCACTGTTTGCTTTGAATTTAAGCAAATAAAACGAAAAGATAAAGAAAAATTTGGCGCCATTCAAGCCTGCCTAACTGCAATCGAATCGATTATATATTTATATCTAAACATTAAGTAAAGGGAATGAACAAAACAAATACATGTGAGAGAGAGAGAGAGAAAAGAAGGAGAATTCCATTCATTTAGCTAAAAATAGCTAGTTTGTGTATAATATCATGTGTGTGTGTGTGTTTTCGTTTGTATGGCGCCTGCCTAAGGTGAAATGAATTTATTTATTTTTTTTTTTCGTTTATCGTTACTCTTCTTCTTCTTCTTCTATTTTCTGATAAATAACGTAGACATATAGAACTAACCTGTTATAATTTTTTTTTTTTACTTTTTTTTTGCATTCTTTATTCAGGTTATTTGCCTTATGTATGTTTTTGTTTGTTTGAGAAAACAAATTATTATTAATAAATTGATTGAAGAACTAACAATCTGAGAATGAATGTGGTAGCTTGGTATTTGAGTTTTTTTTTAGTAGGTTACCCGAATTGAATGAATTCAAAGAAGAAAAATATAGGAATCCAATTTGTCTTTGTTGTTTGAATAATAATTAATGGCGCCCTTTTTTTTCCCAAAACAACAAAATATCTATCTATAATTGACAAAGAGAAATGGTAACAAAATCTGAATTTGTTTTTGAGAAAACAAATATAAATAGCTTCTGCGTTTAGTTAGAAGAAGAAGGAAAATGCTAGCTAAAACTCTCTCTCTTGCTTAAATAATAATACCGGATATATAGATTTCAAACGGAATTCTAGTTAAATATCCTGACGTGATCTGACGTGATCTGTTTGTAACTGATCGGAGCAACAACAAAAAAAAAAGAGACAGGTAAGTAACATGGAAGGAGAGTGAGAGAGAGAAAAATGGCGCCATTCGAATCGATTTCTATAGAACCGAAAATTAATGTTGATCATGATCAGTTTTATTTTTTTTTCTTCTGCATTTTGAATTTATCATCATGCACTTGTGTGTAAATAGCCAATGTGGTTGGTGAAGATAAATAAAGATAGAATGAATTAATGTTTAAATTTCAAAAAGGTAGAGAGAGAGAGAGAGAGAGAAACAAAATACATACCAAAGATATAATCAGCTGAAAGGAATAACGGACAATTATTTATTTAGCAAAATCCAACAACTACCAGTTGAATTTAGTTGGAAAAAAATGGGTCGAATCAAAATCTGTTTCGAATACGAAAATTTAACATTTTTTTTCGATCATGATTGAATGTAAATTATTAGAAGAAGCTAACGAATAAAAAAAAATGTAATAAAATAAATCTTTATTACCCGGGTTAATCATCATCATCAACATGATCATCATGATGATGATGATCGTAAGAAAAGTATTTCAAGATAAAACCATGCAGGATACAGAGATACACAGTCAGTCAGTCGTCATAACTATCATCATCATCAAAGGTCGTTAATTATTTTTCAATTTATTTTTCTTTTCTTTTTTTTTTTTGATTATTGAGAATTTTTTTGGTTCATGAAAAAAATAGTTTATTTTTTTTTCTATTTCACTTGGGAAACTTATCGATTAAACTTTTTTACGGTAATGTTACACGAATATGAAAACCGTTATGTAGTTTCTGGAAAGATTAACTCAGGATAGAAAAAAAAACCAGTGATATCCAGTGTTACTTGGTGATATTTGTGATAATCAAAATCATCTTCATTGGTTACATTGATTCTATTTTGTGTTTGTTTGATTACTTTTAATTTAAGTTTTTGGTAGAAGAAAAAAAAGAACAAGAAAAAAATTCAATGAATGCAATGCAAATGGCAAATGGTAAATTGGTTAAGATTCATTTAAATATTCGAAAAAAAAGAAGCCTTGAAGCAATAATATTTATGTCTGGTTACCATTATAATCATCAAATAATCAATAATGTTTTGATTACAATGTGGCTGTTGGCATTTTTTTCTTTCAAATAATAGAACACAGTAATGAAAGAAATGAAATATTTTATGAATTTGAATATTTTTTTTTTAATGTTTATGTTTTTCATAATAATCTCTTTTGTTTTTTTGCTTTGCTTTACTGTTGTTGTTGTTGTTGTTGTCTATTTAGGTTATGAAATGAAAAAAAAAATAACTGTTATTGTCATAACTGAAACAACATTGCTGAATTCCTTCATTGAAGAAACAAGAAAAGAAGTCAGAAAACATTTT